TGCATAAATTTCGTAAAAATATTTTAATGGAAAATTATTTTAAATTTGTTATTTTATCTAGTAACAATGTAAATACTTGTTTATTCCCTCGACACATAAATAACTATTTTAGTTCATAAACTTGCCCAAATATTTAAATTCATCCAATTTATTTTGTCTAATTTTTTTGGCAAAATATTTATTTTAAATAAAACTACAAAATTTTGTATCAATTCCAGTACCATCAAGTTAATTAATCCTAAGCCATGCAGCGCTCTTGACTAACTATTACTATTCTAATCCTCTTATTTTAACCAGGATTTATCTCGTCAAAATTAATGAGTCAATAACGGAAAATTTGCCTAATCTCATTTCTAACTCTCGCTCGAATAAAATTTCAAAAATTCAACCATCTTTCGCATTCTTCAACTTGTTCAAGAGATTAAACAGCAAACTGTAAGCGTGTGTCACGTTTCAAATTAAATTGACTGATTAGAAGATCAAAACAGCCGCCTACCAATTTCTTCTTTGCCATTGTGTAAGATGCAGTTGGAACACGATAAGAGACCAGATGGTACAAACGATGGGTGATCTTTACGGCTTTGAGGCTTATCTCCTTGATATTGATACACTGCGATGGTCGGACATAATTGTAAATGGGCAAAAATGCCGCCGCGGAGATACCATTCAATTTATTAGCTTGTTTTCAAAAGGAAATGTTTCATTATGGAATTTCACGCTTTCGAGCGATTTTCCGAATTTTCCCATCAATCAATAATTGATTGTGGTCTTGGCAGCGAGTGAAACGTCGGTCACGAACTCTCCAACAAAAGAGAAATTGAAAAACCGAATTTTATGCAAATTAATAAATTAAGTCGTCTAATGACTCAATTCGGTTTGTTTTGGCCCAATTAGAATGGAAGCCCAGAAAGGAGAGAGTGAAGAGTTTGCAAAAATATAAAATCGTTCAATTAAAACCGATCTGATTTTCTCCTCGGGATTAAGATCATCTGATTTCCCCACAATCAGACGATTTGATCTAAATACGCTGTCACTCCTGGATTTTTTCCAGAAATTTTGCAAAAACTCGAGACAATATAGTTGAATAAATGACGGCATTATGAGCCACTAGAATGCAATTTATCGGTAATGGTAGTTATTAAACCTAATTTATGGCGAGTATAATGAGTTTAAGAAATGCAGTCCAATTTAGTGCTGACACTTGAGGCATTCTAGTAGCGCTTTTATGTCTGATTGTTACACAAATTGCAAAAATACACATTTTGAACTATTAATTATGCAAACCTCTCCGAGTTCAACATCTAACGGTCCACGTGAAACAATACCGCAAAATGCACGTGGTTATCGTGCTATTTGAAAAACTTCTTTACTGTTGTGTGCCAATTGAACTGCATTGTTCTCTCCCACACTTACCGCACAAGAGCTGTCAGGGTGGCAAACTCATTACCGACTTAACTGATTTTGAGCAAAATCTTTGTTTTTAGTTTTGGTGGATGCGCCAGGTTTAGTTACTTTAGTTATTTTTGCGAAGGATTCTTTTTCGTTTTTTTTTTTTGAATAGAGTAGATAAAAAAAGTGGTTTAATCTGTTTTAATAACTTTTAAAGTTGACCCGACACACATTTTTGTTCGCCCTGTATATTATTGCCGTGGATTTTACACAGTGATTCATGTGCTATTCAAGCTCGACAAGCTTTAACATAAATTACTGGTATTTTGTTTTATCAAAATTAATAATAATTTACTTTTGTATATTATGTTTTGGACATCCTTAAAAATATAATGCACTGATTGATAGTTGACATTTCATCAAAAATGTTCAAAATTTTGATTATTGAATCTACTTGAAATAATTTGTGTCAGGCTTATAGTCTTATTTGAATCAGCCTGTATATTAATTAAGTTTGGATTTATTTATTTTTGATCCGACACACTTTTTTGTTCGTTTTGTTTATTTTTGTCTGTGAATCTTACAGGGTGATTCATATGTTATTTAAGCTCGACAAACTTTAACATTAATCATTGGTATTCATCAAAATTAATAATAATTCAATTTTGTATATTATATTTTGGACATTTTTAGAGATATAATTCACAAATATGTTCAAAAGTTTGATTATTGAATTTACGTGAAGTATTTGCGACTGGCTTATAGTCTTATTTGAATTACCGTGTATATCAACCTTTATATTTATTTATTTTTTACCCGACACACTTTTTTGTTTGCCTTGTATATTTTTGTCTGGAGATATTACAGGGTGATTTATGTATAATTATAATAATTATATAATTATTATAATTATAGTTGTTATAGTTATAGTTATTTTAGTGACAAGTGTGTAAAATACTGTTTTTGCTAAGAATTTGTTACTGTTATAGAGCAGATACAAATAACATTTTTCTTTAAAGTTTAAAAAAAATTCTCGAAAATAGTGGTAGAAAATAAAAACTACTCAAAGTCCGAATAAACTCGTTTTAGGGATTTTAGTGAGTCCACAAAATAGATCGTTTTTGAGAGTGTACAAAATTGTCTTAACTGCAATTAATTTATTTTAAAGAAACCTTGTTTGGAATTAAACAGAAGGGAAAGTGCAATAAAAGGAGCTTATCTAATCTACAATCACGTAAATCTTCGAAATAGCTCTATCATCAATCATTAAATGAGTCTAAAAAATGCACAAGAAAATAAAGAGAAGATTTTAAACTTGTTCTAAATTTTCATTGCTTTTGCTTATTTTTTCAACTGAGTGAGCTACATAATAGTTTTACTCAAAATTACTGTTTTTATACTAATATTAGCATTATTTATTAAAACTATTTAATATTTAATTTAATTTAAGTGATTTTGCGGAAAATTGATGCAAAACGCTTTTTTTAATTCATTCTTTTTTAATATTAAATTCAAATTCTAAGGATGTCAAATGTGTAAGAATCAAGAATGCAAACACTTGCAAAACAGTTTCTGGCCGTGTGATACACAAAACTTTTTCGGCCGACAACATCTTTCAAGTAAAACAAATTTATTTATTGTTAAATTTTTCCGGCTAGGGAATTTATTTTTCATCTATTAGTAGCACTTACTCCACGGTGTAATGATTTAAACTTAAAATAATTTTATGACATTTGTAAAGTAATTAAGACTTTCGAGAAGAAAATTCAATTAAAGCGTGATTTGGACGATTGGAAAATCACTAATTTTAGACGAAGGCCGAGAAATAATTATTTGTAGACGATTATTTACTTTATCATCAAACATCACAAAAAGTGACTATTTTTATGACTAAATGTCACAAGGAAAAGTTTTATCTTAGTTGTTTCTTTCTTGTCTCTTTCGTAACAATTTCTGGAGAGCTTTCAGCTTCACCACATAAACTATAACTATATACAGGGTGATGAAAAAAAGGCGCCCACGATTGAAACAGGCGCGTCCTTTTTTATTGAAACATAGTGACCACCATTCCAAAAATAAATAGTCTAAATAGATTCTTTTTAAAATTTAAACAGTTTGTCTAACAGCACAAAGCGGCAATATTGCACAATTTTCTTTTACTAAAAAACTATTTCACTCAGGTATTTTTCGTATCTAGGAAACCAGTACTGACAGATATTGTCACCCGCATAAAATAAAAAAAACTGTAAAGTTTACATAATTTTATTATTCCAATACGATACGACCAAAAGGTATCTAATGATTTCAATTAATTTTTTTAATCTTTGACTTTTTGACTTTAATCGTTCAAATTTCACAGAACAAACAACATTGAAAATTGATTTTTTTGTTGCTACCGTTTCCAATAATTGAATATTACTTGGACATTTTCTGTATCCTAGGATATTTGCAATGTTGCAACAATGATAATTTTTTTTTGTAGCCTAACATCTTCAATAAAGTTTATTTCAATAGACTTTTTACACATTTTTTAAGAACACCGCCAACTGTATCAAAATCTAGACTTTAACAATGAAATTATTTTAAAACTGTTAATTATATAGATTTCTCTTTTCTAAAAAGGAAAGTCTATATCTTACTGATAAGAGCACAAATCCAATTTTGGTCTTCGAATTCGTTTTTAATAAAAGATCACTTATAACGTGTAGGTTAACACGGGCGCATCATTCTGTATATCACCTTTACGTCTAAAATACTATATTTTGCTTTTGCCATTTTTTAATGCACCTACCAGACTAAATATTTTGGTTTTAATTTAAATATTTTTATAACTTCAATGTCGTCGTGCTATCAGAGCCGAATGTGAAATGAATTTTATTCAATATCTATTCCAAATTACTGTGGATGTTAAATATGCACAAAAACCACTGAAAATTAAAATTTAACGTTGTACTAAACATCAGTCGTAGTAACCATAACTGTTGCCATATACAGATAACTCATTAGAGATGTCTTGGAAGATCTGACTTTATTTTTGAAAATAGGAATATAATTTCATTGTGTTTATATTGTTATTGATATAATATGTTGTATATATAGTCCACATATGCAGGAACGTTTGTATAAACTCCAGGATATTTAGGACTAGCACATCCTATGCCAAAGGAGACAATACCAGCAAGAACACCCTTGATAACAGCGGGACCACCAGAATCACCCTGACAGCTATCTTTGCCAGAAGCACTAGCACAAAACTTATTTCCAATAATAGTACCTTCGCCGTATGTTTATTCACAAAGAGTTTGGTTGATAACTGAAACAGTAACTGCATGTAGCACCGAAGGGAGGGAAGAAGGAGCTTCTTTCAGTGCCCCCCAACCTGTCACAAGAGCAGATTGGCCAGCACGCCAAAAGACTTTATGAGATGGAAGACGGATTCGGCGTATGGTGACCCCAAAATCCAAAACAATAGCTAATTGCACCATGGTTATGTCATTATTATGAATATAAGGGATGTTGTAGTAAGGGTGCTCATAGATATTTGCGACACTTGCAACGATAAAGTGCTAGTGTAGACACTGAAAGAAATGAGAATGACAGAGTTGTTTCAGTTAAATTGAAACCTTCACTAACCCATCGTGATTGGTGCAATGAGCAGCGGTGAGAACAAATTTTCTAGTGATTATGGATCCCCCACACAAGAACTTTCCGTTGTTGTGGAGAGATACTTGATAAGGGAATTTAGTTATTTTCGTAGGTTTACCACCGATAATCCTATCGTCAGGTAGCGAACTGTTGTCATTGTCATAAGGCGGGTCAGCTAAAATCGTTACCAATAATTCTTTCATCTTTTTATTTTTTCAACAAAGCCTTACCACAAACGGATGCTGTAAGAAAAATAACCAACCCAAATGGTTTCATTTTAGGAATTGTTTGGATTCTGTGACACGACCAAAGTCTGGTTACGGGATGCTCACGTTTAACTTAATGAAACTGTATATTTTTTTTTACATTTTATATACCTATAAATACTGTCTGTACGTTAAACTTTTTTATTTGTTAAATCAAAATACCTTATCATAACATAAAAGTTTATTGCAGACGAATAGACAAAAGTGCTTTTAATTTTTTTTAATAAAATTAATTAAGTAAAATAAAATGTCAACATAATGTCTTGTAGTACATCCTATCTACATATATTTTTTGGTTTACTTTTTTGTTTTTTTTTACGGAAAAATGGCGACGATCATTGCAATTTCTTTATTTCTTTCTTTTGAAGCAAATGCTACGTAAAGCTTAATTAACTTTGTAGACCAAAAAAATGGTCATTGTTAGAAATTGAACTCAAAAACTAAAAGATATTTAAAAATGTTATTGTAGAACAATCATTTTTTAAATTAACGTGCGTTTATTAGGTGCTTTATTTGACAAATATTTTACATGTCTTTAATTAGTTCAATTAATTAATTGCGAAGGACCGTACCGTAGTTTTTTTGGCTTAACAATATACATATGTTTTATTATAATATGTATACAGTATGTCCCCGCATTGAATTTACAAAAGGAAAAAAAAATCTTTGATTTTACGCCAAAATTGCTTCTTTTGCTTCACCTGAAACGAGCAAATCTGTAATTAAAACTTCATTATTCTGATCCAGTGAAAAGGAAAATTAATTTTTCTTTTGATTTTGAACATCATTGTCAAAATAATAAAACCACCAATGTGTTTAAAAAGCTGAGAAAAATTATTCTAAATCCAAAATCAAGAGAAAAATTAACTTTTCTTGCTACTGAGTTAGAACAATGAAGTTTTAATTACCGATTTGCTCGTTTCAGGTAAAGCAAAAAATGTTTTTTCTTTGCAGTTTTAGCGTAAAATCAAAGATAATTTTTTTTTCCTCTTGTAAACTCAATCTAGAGACATACTGTAGGTATATTATCATTAAAATTTCGGTTTGATATTTTTTACAAAATTTTGAAAATGCAATCCTTGGCTTAAATTTTTCTTTCATATTTAATATTATTAATGTTTTTTTTGTTTATTTTAATTTACATTTTTATTTTTATTGCATTATTTTTATTTTTCCTTTCATAAAACTGCTCGTTTTTTTACGTTTTTACAAAAATTAAATTTTTTTAAAATACAAAATTTGACTTAAATAATAGACTAAATCCTAAATTTTTCTAAAGATAAAAGCTACCAAAGGTTAAGATTTTAGTGCATTTTAAAAAAATTTCTAATTTTTCTACAGTGTCCGAAAAAAAACGAAAGATTTTGGGCGGTGGTAGGTCAAAATAATAAAAAAAAAGTTTCTACAAACCTATGTCTACAGGTGTGCTAGAAAAAATGTAAGGTATGATACCAGGAACATGGAGAAATGTTAAAATAATTCTATCTATGAAAATTTCGAAGTTATGAGAGTTTAAATTTTGCTCTTTGACTTTATTTCTGTTGGAACAATAATTATCCAAGATTTTTTTCCATAGACTATTAGAAGCTGTATCCTAAATTGTAACTCTTTTAATGATATTTGTGGCTTTTATTGGCAAACTTTTTGTAAGTTTACTAGATAATTATAAAAAAACATAGACATAAAAAAATGTCAAATGTCAACAATTTTTTCCATGGTCCTGGTCTCACTTAAAATCTTCTTCTGGGGCGCGAGTTTTGGCACACTCTGTATTTTGCTTTTGCCATTTTTTTAATGCATTACCTATCAAACTAAAAGTTTTGATTTTGATTTAAATATATTGTTTAACTTAGCTTAATATTTAACGTTGTACTAAACGTCGCTAACGTCAGTCATAACATCTATACTCTTTTTTATATTAATGTGCATCAAGTAGGTTGTTGAAGTCTAAATTAATCTTTAGATTACAGTCCGATTTACACAAAAAGTGCTATTAATGTCATTCAGAGCAAATTTAATCACGTCAATAATAAAAAAAACCTTCATGAATGCTATTCTATGTTAATTATGTTGTTGATTTTAATTATTATTTTTCGCTACATGGGGTGCATATTTATTTGAAAAAATCATTTTTAAGAAAGAATGAGGTTAGGATTATTTGAATTTTCGCATTGTTGCCACCTTAAAATGATCCTTTTCAACGACTACTCTGATGCACAGGTATATAACTGTTGTCATATACAGGGTGAGTCATTAGGAATACGTTGGGAGATACTAACTATATTACTGAAAATACGAATTTGATTCTATTTTTTTTAACACTATTTTGTTTTAGTATATTAAAGAACAAGTTTTATAAGGGCTGATTTGGCGCACGAATCCCAAGTTAGAAAACGAGCCGTAGGCGAGTTTTCTATGGGATGAGTGTGGTGCCAATGCCATTATGAAACGAGAATTTATGCTATTTTTTCTAATTTGCGCTCCCTTTTTTCGTATTTTAATTAAAAAAAAATATATATTTTTGTCGCCCAGAGAATTTTGTGTTAGTTGGTATCGGTTGGTAACACTCAGCGCCCACCTGTTTTTTTGAGTAATTTCTGCCGTCTATCATTAAAAATAAAATTTACAAATTATTAGTTATTAGTGTTACAACATAATAATAATAAATAATATATGAGAAACAGAATTTAGTTTGCACTCCGTCCGAAATTTGTTACCTGACAAGTCAAAAGCGGCATCCAAAAACTAAATAACCCTAAATTCATTAAAGTACAGTGTGCTTTTATTGATAGCCATAAACGACTCCTACTGGAGACGTTAATAAACGTATTATAAACGCAAATTAGAAAAAAATTGTTATAACTTTATTATTTATTGCTTTGTTGTTATTTGTCTATGAAGTCGAGATATGAAGCAACGTTTGTATAAACTCCAGGATATTTAGGACTAGCACATCCATAGCCCCAGGAAACAATACCAGCAAGAAGACCATTGATAACTGCAGGACCACCAGAATCACCTTGACAGCTATCTTTGCCAGAAGCATTAGCACAAAACATATTGTCAGTAATACCACTTCTTTCGTATGAAGCTTCACAAACAGTTTTGTCGACAACTGAAACAGTAACTTCTTGCAGCACTGTGGGCATGGAACCTCCTGAAGACGTTGTTCCCCAACCTGTCACAATAACAGATTGGCCACTAGACCACGAGCTTTTAGAATATGGAAGAGGGATTGGGGATGTGTTGGGCCCAAAACTCAAAGTAGTAACTAATTTCAAAATGGTAATGTCATTGTCTGTAGTGCTAGGGTTGTAATGAGGGTGCTGATAGATTCTTGTCACACCATAAAGCAATCTGAAAACCTCACGAACTTATCGTGGTCGGTATAATGAGCAGCGGTGATAACGAAGTTTGCATTTATTATGGAACCCCCACAAATGAAGCTACCGTAGTAATAAAGACCCACTTGATAAGGGAATTTAGATATTGTCGTAGATTCACCACCGACAATCCTATCGTCAGGTAGCGAACTGTTGTCATTGGCAGAAGGCGGGTCAGCTAAAATCGTCACCAATAATTCTTTTATCTTTTTATTTATTTTTTTTTAATTACCACAAACGGATGCTGTAAGAAAAACAACCAACCAAAATGGTTTCATTTTAGGAATTGTTTGGAATCAGGGCCACGCCCAAGCCTGGTCACCGGACGCTTTAATGACAACATACAGGGTGAATATAAAGTATGGAACCAAGCGGTTTTATTTTTAATCATTTGTCTCCAGAAAATAATAATTAATATAAATTAAAGTAATATAAAAAATGTGATCGTATTTTCAGAACGAAATTTTGTTTTGTTTTTTGAGTTCTGCGATTTTTTTTGTCAAAATTGCAATTTATGTGAAAAAATTTTTTTCAAAAAATTAAATATAAAGTAGATAGTTGTAATCCTTAGAGTATAGCTTTTATGAGGAAAATGATTTTATAGTGGGTTGCCATTTAAAAAAATATTTTTTTTTGTAGAACTCAAAAACAAAAGGAAATTTCGAAAAATTTTATTCATGTTAAATCATCACATTTTTATAGTACTTTATCACTCATTAATTAGTTTTTTCAAAAAATAAATAGTTTAAGCAAAAAACGTTTGGTTCCATACTTTTTATTCACCTGGTATATGTATTTTTTTACATTTCATATACATATACAGCATGTTCCGTTTTTATTGTTACAAATTTCAACAGGTGATAGAATATTCAATTTTAGGATGAAAGTTTCTTATAAACATGTATCGAAAAATATTATACTGGAGGCGCCAGATCTCGCGCCCCATAGAAAAATGCCATATAAGGTAAGATACCAGGAACATGGAAAAAATGTTAAAAATAATTATCTATAAAAATTTCGAGAGTTATGAGAGTTTAAAATTTGCACTTTGATTCTATTTATTTTTGTTGGAAAAATAATTTTACAAGTTTTTTTGCTACAGTCTATTGGAAGAGAAAACAAAGAAGCTATATCCTAAATTGTAACTCCGTTCAATGTTATTTGCGGCTTTTATTGGCAAAATTTTTGTATTTTTACTAAATAATTGTAAAAAACATACAATATCATCAGTCATTAAATAGGCATAAAAATGTCAAATGTCAAAGTATTTTGACAGATAGAATTTTTTGAACATTTTTTCCATGTTACTGGTATCTTATCTTACATGAAATTTTTCTCTGGGGCGCAAGTTCTGGCGCACCTGTATAAAAGAGCTACATCCTCTGAAAGTGGTGTATCTTTTAATATTTTTTTTTCAATATGTCATAAACCATTGTAGATAAAATTACAAAATTTGGTACAACTAATAACCTTTATACACCCAAACGAATTCAAAGATAAAATGTCGAAATTTTTACTCAGGGGCGTCCTAAACTAGGGGGCTTTATGATAAAAAATACTCTAACTATTTTGGAGTTTTGTTCTTATCGCTTTCAGGCACAAAATTCTAAATTGCATAGTTTTTCACAAAAAAGAGGTGTCTTGCGTGTTTTCGATATAACTTACAGT